GGGGTAATTGGTTACGTCGCAATGTTGGAAATATTTCTGTTTTAAACCATGAAGGCGAGCCAATGGATATCACATACAAGCAACGTGCAAACTTTGCGCAAGAGTTACGCCGGTGAACGTCTTAATCTCAGTCAATTCACTGTGCAGAAAATGAAAGTAAAAACGGAATGACGGAGTAATGACGGAGCTTTCGGCATCTGACGCCGCATATTCTCTAAGAGACGACGAGACGAATCTACTTCAACATATGCTGATAACGGTATATAGCTAACTGTTTTCATTTATTCCCTTAATATTTCTCTTGTGGCCCGTACATAGTGGGAAAAAAGAGAAGAATTGTATTTCGTGTGAAATAGGTTGTTTTTGAAAGTTGAAAGGTGCTTGAAATAGGCCTATAGGCTAAGCTTTTTATTTTATTGATTTTTACTGATGACTGCAGTGTTAATATTTTAATTAAAGCCCTATAATTCATTGTATAATAGGCCTGTTTTAAAATACCTTATTTTTAATATTTTAACTGAGTTAATAGCTTAATCTTTTGTTATACTCGCAGCGGGTCAGTTATGTGGTAATTATTGCAGGGCAAATTAATTGTAATTTAATAAAAGTAACTTCATAATAATAATAGGCCTAATAAAAATAAGAATGTAACATGCCTACATTAATTGGAAATGCCAAATTCTCTTAATATTGCCAAACATTGATGTTTTTGACGATATCTCTGGCTGTCGTCGATACAAGAAGCAAGGGGAGGTTATCGCGGGGCAGACAGCACATTGTCTGTTACGTCGTTTGGACTGCCTTGTTGAGTGCAGCGGCACTGAGAACATTACTCACACACTTTAAGCTCTTTTATTTTCCAAATGTAATAGGATTAGCGCAACAAATCGTTCGGTTTGTAATGCGTACCGAACCGAAAGCCTCGTACCGAACGGTTCAATACGAATACGTGCATCTATCTATATATATATATATATATATAATGGATGTTTGTTTGTTTTGTGTTGTTTTTTTTTACATCTTACAAATTACCAGATGTACATTTTAAACAGTAATTACATATTGTAGTTATGCATCCTTTTAAAATAGTATTTTTATACATAAGTAATAATAATTACAGAGTACTTTGAAAGGTAAGGTCAAAATACCTAAACACTTTGTGACACAACAATAATTACACATTGCAAACAGTCCTAAAAAGGCTTAATTTTTAAAGTATGAAAATGATCGTATTTAAGTGGGTGTTACACATAATATGCACTTATGTTTGATGACATCACTGGGTGCGTGTTGCTTCATTGTCTGTCTGGCAGTGGAAGAGGAAGGCGTCACTCCAGTGAAGCGCCGGCGGGTGAGCAGCAGTGCTGAGGATCGGCCGGCAGACAGCGTTTGCCCTCCATCTACTTCCTCCTCATTGGCTCCCTGCTCGGAGCAGAAGGCGGAGCCAGGGGAGGCGTTTACGCCAACCAGCACTTCGGACACTGAAACCCGAGACTCCTCCCTCATCGACCCGGGAGTAGAAAACGACCCGCCCTCTCCCGACAGTGCGTCCCTCGAGGAGAAGAAAATGGACGTTTCTTCGTCATCGTCATCCTCATCTTCGTCATCATCCTCCTCCTTTCCCGAAGCGTTCGGCCGAACGGACGAACCTCCACCGCAGATAGCTGGAAGAGAGGAGGAGGAAGAGGAGGATGGGCGGAAGGAAATGCAAGAGCAGGAGGCGGAGCCAGAGCGAGAGGAAGTGCCCTCCACTTCCTCCTCCTCTGCAGACTCGGTGCTTTTACTCTCCAGCCTGCCGGATTCTGCTGAGGGGCGGAGCTGCTCGCTCCAGGAGGCGGAGTCAGGCGGATGTGGCCATGCCCCCGTGCAGGATGCTCTGGAGATGCTGTCGCGCACAGTTGAGGCCACTATCGCTGTGGTTGCCAAACTTTCGAACGGGAAAGGAGGGACACGCCCCTCGGATTTGTGACGTTACTTTCACGTCGCTCCTTTTTCGCATTTCACGTTTTTTCGTTCGCCATGCTGTTCAGATTTGTCTTTTTACGAATAATTGAAGTCCAACTTTTTTTTTAATTGCCCACCCTTTGGCCTCGCTCTTCATCTGTTTCGTGTTGCAACACAAAAAGTTCTGTTTCCGGTTCCAGAAAACTGAGCTCCGCATTAATTGAACAGAACAAAAAACCAACTGGAGCGTCTTTTTGTCAAAGGGCAGTTTTTTTATTTTTTAAACCGTGATTTTGTTGGTTTCTTTGTTTTGAAGTGGTTTGTTTTCGAGGCTGCAGTGAAATAGGGAAAAGGTTTACAACGTTTTAGTCCCGTCAGTGCATAATGTAATTTGCATTTTTATTCACGTGTATTATTTTTATTATCACGATTGTCTTCTGTGCCAGTTTTGTACTTGCACATGTGAGGCTGAGACGGCCTTGCTGTGTTTTTTTTCTCTGTGGTGGATATCAAAAACTATGTTTACTTTGTATATTGAAAAGAAAGAACGAACCACAAGAACCTTGATTCTGTAAAGAATCTTCTAGATGTTGCCTGGCTTTGTAAATGAGATGGTTAAAATATATATATATATATATATATATATATATATATATATATATTTCTGTAATAT